ATGTTGATATAAGGATATCCCATTATGGCGTATTTTCTGTCGAAAATCTCTTCCAAAGTAAATGTTAAAAAGCTGTTTAAGTTCATTTTATCAACAGTTTAACATTTGTTTTTATGAAATATTCTAAGCATGATAAATAGCAGAGAAATTCGAATAAATCATATTTGTGTTGGCTTATCTAAAATACCACGGATGAAGCGTATTCATATTTAAATACATTGTATATAAAATATGAAATTCACATTAAGAGAAATCGCTTGCTTACGCGTAATATTTTTAAATTATTCTAGGAAAAATTCAACCGGAAATGTCTTAATTATTCCAAACAAATAGTTATTAGAGAGGTTGCGTCCGACGTTTTCAGCTTGAAACGTGAACGTCGGACGTCGAGCGACGCCATCTGGCAATTCTAGAAGGTTGACGATGGCGTTCGCTACGTCTAGCGTGGCGAGTAGAAGTTCGACTTAAACTTCACTTTTTTGTGTTTGGGGTTAAAATTGTGACGTTTTTTTTATTAAAATAATGATCATGTAAGCATTTGTGAATAAAATTGTAAAGAAACAGACGATTTTAATCCAGAAATTATTTAATTATTCAATTTTTTTTTCAAGTGATGTGCCTATAGAATTTACATATATTTATTTTCGTAATACCTTGTCATAATTCTGTAGGAGTAGGTTTGTTCTTTCACAGCGTTTTCTACCATCGACGCGTAATACGTTTGTAACTTTTCTAAAAGTAATTTCCCGAGCTGCTTTCGGATTTACATAAGCCACTACTACTCTCGACAAAAGTATAAGGTAGTCCTATCGTACGGTAGGAGACACTACGCTAATTAAAAATAATTATTTAGTGTTATTAAACATCCTATAAATACTTTAATAGTTTAATTACAATAATGTTAAATATTTGTTTCATTTAAATTTATTCCAAAAGTTTATTTTTCTAGTTTTAATGTATTTTGTTTTATTGATACTGTAATATTGAATTGATAACTTCGGTAAAAAATATTTAAAGTACTTTATTATTGATGCTTTCAGTAATACAGTGACTTTAATACAAACGAGAGGATATCTTCTGTCGAACTTCAGCTTCGGTTCAAGCTAAAAGTTTACTGTTTTATTATTTTCTGAAAATATTTGTATATATTTTGCATTAAGTTGTTACAATTTTCTTTTTAATTACAGGTAGTCAAACATTTATATTCTATACTCTCTTCGTTACTAAAATTAAGAGGCGCCACCAAACCAGAAATTGTGTTGCTGAAATAAAAACTCGATCAGTAATTGAATCACAGCAAACTGATATTTTTTGTTGGAAAGAGGTCGGTCAAAGTTCACCAATATATAAGAACTCTGTCCGAATTCAATCCTGATCTTCATAATTTATCGTAAGATGTATTGCTGGAGACACCCCCTTTCATTCGTGATAGCAGACCTCATCGGACTGTCGGATGTCCAGCCGTTAATACGTTGTCCTACCGCTCTTGGCAACCCAGAATCTATTCCGGATAAATTGAAAAATCCCAGGAATTTTTTGGAGGTGGTCTGTTTCTTCCGGTCGTCCCGTTGTGGTCTGACCAAACCTATAATGAGCTCGCCGAGTGACCAATCTAATCTAACCTTTGTAATTACAAATCAAATTATAAGGGTTGGAAGTAGGTAATAATCTTAATCTTTGCTGTTATTTTTTGCCCAAGCATCTCCCGGCAAAAAATATATTTCGTTATATAATATACTGTGACTCCAGTTTATCTTATAAAATTTTAAAAATTCTGGTAAACATTTGGGTGGTGGAAGCATTACAAATAAATATATTGTGTGGTGTGAGCAAAAAGTTTGAAAAACTCTGAACTAATATAACTAAACATTCGTGTCATTATTCGATAATTCTGACATACTAAAAATTTATTAAAACAACAACAAATTTTCTTAAAATGTTTATTTAACTATACATTAACAAAATACATAAAGAAAAATATATATGCTAATTATCAATAAATATCCATAAAAAGATTCAATAGCTGCTTGTTATAACAACAACACCAGTAGCTTTTTAATTATTAAAACAGAAAAACAGACTCAATAATAAAATAAAAGATATATTAATAGAAGATTTATTATATAGTATATAATAAATGTCATGTTTGCTCCATTGTTATTAAACTATTTTAAGCCAGAGAATTAAGTATTGACAATATTTATGAACTAATCATATTAATAAAAGAAATGAAGTTTTTCATACTAACAAATGATATAAAAAGTTGAATTCTGTTTAAAAATTAAGCACATGAAATATCATTTGCACAAAAATTTTAAAAGAATCTCTCTAAAATTTCATTATTATGATTATATAAAAACTCATATTTTTTTTCGTTTATTTTAAAATCATTTATTATAAAGTCAATTTGATTATTTTGAATTCAATACAACATTTGGAATATTGAAACTTCCAAATTGTTTTCCAATCATATTTCATAGGTGTGAAAACCTGATAAAATATCAATGTTACCATAAAACACAATAAAAATTTGTTACAATACTGTAGGAGTGTCGGTATCTGTCTTTTTAAATATCTAAACTGCTATGATCCTTAAATATATACCATTAATATATATATTCTACTTATATATATTTTATATGATGATTTGACATCACATACACTATACATAAATGGCATAAGCTAAACTACATTCATAAGTAATTTGAATTTTCTAAATGTTTAGTTTGTTCTTTGTATTAGCCAATAAATACAAAAATGTAGCTACATTACCAACTAAATAATCCAAAGTTACAGATTTTCTTAATATCGTGTAAACATTTCATTCAGAAATAACATAAATTAATAAACATGCATTGTATCATATAAAATTAATAAAAACAAACAAACATCAAGAAACATTCTTCATTTGCTAAAATCTATCATCTAATACCGTTCAAACGTTTAATATGCTCACTATTCAAGGCAACTTTCAATAATCGTAAGTTTGCTATTTCAAGTTCAGAAGATTTAACCTTTCTTAAAACACACTTAATGCTTTGCATTTCTTTTACTTAAAAGTTTAAATAAATGAAATTGAAACATTCATTATAAAACTAGAAATGTAACTTAAGATTGAGATCTTGGTCAGCAAAAGGATATATCAAATAATAAAACCTTAATTTAGAAATAAGCAATAAATTATTTTTTAAATATAGCATAAGATTAAATTGACAAATAAATAGCTTATATAAGAAAACTGAGTATTCATTAAACTAACCTGTTACAAGTACTAGAATTAAAAACTCTTAGAAATGCCAACTATATTCTTAACATATATAGAAGTAATATACGACAAGTACGTATAATATAAATACACCAAGAGCATTTTAATAATTATACTTAAAAATATATTTTGGTTTTCATCATCATCATTATGGAATGTTATATATTACCTAAGAAATACATAAATCTTTTACCAATGATGAAAGATGACCAATAACATAATTAAGCCATGTGTCAAGTAAATGCACAAAGGCCTACTTTTAGAAAAAGGAAAAATTATTTTTTTTATGTTATATTAGCAGAAGATATCTGAAATTTAATTTTCAAAAAAAACCTAAACATTGTAGAGTTACACTGAAAATAAATCATTTTATTAATCTTTTTAAATTTACAAATTTCAAATTAATTACGTCAGAGAAAATATATGTTATACTGCGTAAAAATTTCTTTGTATTCTCTGATTTTTTTCCATTGGACTAGTAGCTCTCTCACAGAAGAATAATCTAAAGATAAATCTTAGAGTAAGCTAAACAAATCTTACATAAATGTAAAGAATGGATATTAAAATATCAGAACTAAAATACTGCCACTTAAAACTGGTTATATTTGAATTAATAACACTAAAACCTATATTCCAGTTGTTTTTATTAAATAATGCAAATGTTTTCACCAGTGATGAATGGGCATCAACAACAAATTGATCCACAACTGCTGAAACGACGGGGGATTGCCGAACATATGTGCAGAGGGGAGGTGAAGTAAGATGAGAGAAAGGAGAGGATAATAAGATTTATATAACATGGAAATATATAAGGCCACCCACAATAACACCGTTATTAATTTTTGCAATGTTGACTCCTTTCCCACAGCATGGAAGTCTTTACTTTGAACTATAAATCTTACTATCTTCCCCTTTTCTCTTGTCTTATGTCACCTCCCCTCTCTGCACACGTGTTTGGCAATCCCCCGTCATTTCAGCAGTTGGGGATCAGTTTGCCTGATGACGCCTATTTAACACAGGTGAAAATGTTTGCATTTTTTATAAAAACAGCTGTAATATAGGTTTTAGTGGTGTTATTAATATCAAAAATAAGTTACTTCTCTAATTCAACATATTCCAATATAGAAAAAAAAATTGCTAGTTATTATGTTGCATTAATTTAGGATAGTAAGGAATGTAATTTAAATAATTTTTAAAATAAAGATAAAAAAAATTATTATTACTTCCTAAAGATATTTTTATATAATTTGTATATCTTAAATTTGAAATCAATATTTTATTTTACACAAATTAGAAAATATACAGATACTTTGGGAATGCCAATTTCCACAATGATCTTGAATGCTGAAGTTTGTTATTGATATTATTGACAGCATGTTTTTATGATAAATACTTAAAATTTACCTTTAAATAAATTAAAAACATAACTGAGTTTATTTTTTATCCATTTACTAAATAATTTATCATAATATATCTCAAAATAAGAAATGTCAAGACATTAAGCAAATAGTCATGTTATTAATAATTATATTTTAACCAGAAAAACAAATGATAATCAGCAATCATAATGTTAAGTTATAATTTTTAAAAATTAGTCTATTTTAATCTTCGAATAAATTTAAAAATTAAAATAGTGTTTAAATATCTGATATTTTTAAAGATTTATCATAAATTTCAAATTATTTGGAAATTATATTACAAGAAAATTCAAAACAAACCTTAAAAACAATGAACATTTTTAAAAGTATAAAATTTAATACTTGCATACACAAATATTTATATTTAGAATAAACTTTCATACAACATCAATACAAAGCATTTAAAATAAATATTTAGCTTGAAAATTAGTATTATACTCCTGACTGAGTAGTTTTAATGCCAGTTTCTACATCTCTATTTTCATTATTTGGTAGTAAATTAGCAGAGCTGGTAGCACGATATTTCATTTCATCAGAAGATGCCCTGAAATATATTTATATTAAATTAATTTAAAAACAAATTAATCATAATTATTCTGCAATAATATAAATTTTAATAATATTCAAATATATTACTAAGTCAAATATTTTCATTTGTAGTATTTGCATAACATCACTGTACATTTTATTCAGAATCAAATTTTGACATGCCTGTAATTTAATAGCATTTTTTTTTCTTTAAAATATTTTAAATTTATTTAAAGAAACAAAAGCAGATCTTATATGTGAATAAAATATTCAACATTCAGTGCAATGTCTATTCTAAAGTAACAAAATAAGCCTACTTTTCCTTACTTAATCCTATTTATTATTGAAATATATATAAAAAATNTTCAATATTATTATTAAATCTATCATAATATTACTGTATTTTCTAAAAATAATGTTGAATTATGAAACTATTTAGATTAATTCATTAATTTTAATTAAAAATATGTAAAATGCATATATTAAAGTTATCAAAAGTATATATTAAACACACTTTTTTCCAAGAGCTAGGATTCCATAAAGACTGCCAGTAATAAAAATTAATCCAGATCCAAAGAATGTAGTAAATTCAGGACAAATTGCAATCGGCATGATAGAAATTCTGAAAATAGAATAAGGTTACTATTGAAGAGAAATTTGGTCAAAATTATTTAAAGACACTACTTACATAATAATTATACACAAAATTAAAGAGTTTAACAATTAATGTATACAAGTGTAGTATAGTGGAAACCCAAGATTTGACTAATACAAACTTAATACATTTCTAAAAGTTGTTCAAAAACCAATTTTTTCCATATAAATTAATGTACAGTACAATACAATAATGCTTTCCATGCTGAAAAAATACTCAAATCTTTTATGTATAACATTTATTCAACGAAAATTATACAATATACTGTGATTTAATATTTAAATTTAATTTAATATGAGATGGCAGCATAACTGCCTATCTCTAGTCAAATTACTTTCTAATATTTAATTATAGCCTTTACATAGCCCAAGAATTCAGCATATCTTTTGGCATGTTTATTATATAACGGGCTATGGTTGTTGATGTTTATATGTAATATGTCTGAACACAAGTTTGGAAAAATGTGCGATCACAGGTGACACTAAGATGCTAGTGGAACAAATGCTAAACACAGACTGATGTAGCATGCACACAAAATTTATTAATCACATTAAATCAAGGAATACCTAGTAGGTGACTTAATACAAGGTGCGTCTGAAAAGTTTAGGGAATGGTCCCATAGTTGAATAATCGTGCTGGTTAGGATGTTGCGCTCACACAAACATAGCGAGAGACTTCCAACTAGTGGCCCCTAGCATTGAAATCGGAAGTGCATGCAACAAATGATGCAACACAGTCAGTGTGAGAAGGAGTGTCACTGCAAAATGGAGCAACGTGTGAACATCAAGTTTTGCTTCAAATTAGGCAAAACAGCAACGGAGACATGAAATGTTAGTGAAAGTGTATGGTGTGGAAGCAGTGAGTAAAAAGTTTTTTTGAATGGTTAAAATGCTCTGGTCGACCGTCAACAAGCACAATTCCAGAATGTGACTCATCGTCGACATCTTCCTTTCCACCTCTGATGCATTTAAACCATTCAAAAACACACTTTTCACTCACTGCTTTTACACCATACACTTTCACTAACATTTCATGTGTCTCTGTTGCCGTTTTGCCTAATTTGAAGCAAAACTTGATGTTCACGCATTGCTCCATTTTGCAGTGACACTCCTTCTCACACTGACTGTGTTGCATCATTTGTTGCATGCACTTCCATTTAACTGTCATGATTTCGATGCTAGGGCCACTAGTTGGCAAGTCTCTCACTATGTTTGTGTGAGCGCAACATCCTAACCAGCATGGTTAGGATGTTGCGCTCCTAACCAGCACGGTTAGGAGGTTGATAGTTCAACTATGGGACCATTCACCGAACTTTTCAGATGCACCTTGTATATACTGGAAACCTTTCAACTATGGAAGAGTTGTTCAGTCCCTTTGATTCTGTTATAAACAGGTTTGACTATCTATTTTTACAAAAGATCTGGAGTGAAATTTCTGTCTAGATTTTAGAAAACATCAATTACATACTTTCATATTTTTTCTGTTTTTAATCATCATTAAAGTTTATGCTGTGAAATTTATTAATAGAAAATAATTAAATCAGAACTGATACAGTAGATGAATTTAATCCAATCTACAAAGATATTACAATCATATAATTACAAAATTAGTCAGGGTAAATTTTTATCAGACAAAATAGAATTTACTCTAGTAATCAGATAATTATGATAAATTTTAATATAATTAAATAATTTAATAAAAAGATTATACATACACTACATAAAGTAATCCTCTATGCCAATATGGTTTTTGGTCAAAATAATTACTTGGGGCTTGAGCAAAATCCAAAAACATACAAAAGCACGGTGCTTCAATAAGAGCCACAAGTACTCCAACAAGCCTTATAAAAAAAGATAATAAATAAATAAGCATATAAAATATTTTTGATATTTTTTAATGAAATAAAATAACTTACATTTGGATAATTCCAGCCAACAGACATTTTGGAGTAAAAGTAACACATGCCCATGCTCCTAAACCTAAAGCAACTAAAACATGAAAACTTCATTTTATAACATTATTGCAACAAAGTGTGTGCCTATTTTTAATTCAATTCTGATTTATTGATTAATGTTTAGGAAATAAAAAGTTAATAATAATAACAATTTAATTAAACTTCAGAAAAAAAATATATCTGATACAGGATCAAAGAATAAAAATGAAATTATTTCTATATAAAATTAAACACAGTTTTCATAAACAACAAATCAGTTTAAAATAAATTTTTTATTAAAAAATATTTAGCTATGTTTATTAGAAAAAGTTAAAACAAGATTTTAAGAAGTTTTAAACAATGTTTTCATGATTTTTTTGCTATTTTAAAATACAGGGTGTCAAAATTATTCTGTACAATTTTATCCTTTAATGAAATTTATGATGGCAAATGTAGGATCATTAAACAAGAATTTTTAGAATCTATATTTTTCAAAGTTTCTTTAATTAATGCAACAATGTTACAAACATATCATATGTGCACCATATGTGACTCCCAAAACAGCCAGTCAATACTCCAAATGCTCCCATGCAGGCTGCAACATCTCCACATGAATTTTGTTCAACATCAGCTGTGATTCTTGCTTTTAAATCACCAATGTCTGTCACCTGCACATTGTGAACATCTTTGATGAATCCAGAAAGATGGAGAAGGGAAAAAAACACAAGGTGAGCTGTTGAGAGAGCTAATAGCCAATGAATTGCACTTCAATAGCTAAATCCAAAAGAAATTAAGGTTTTTTGTTTAGAAACAAGTGTAAGAATTCCCATCTTCTCTGAAATTTATTCTCTATAAAATGACATAAGATGGAAATTCTTACACTTTTTTTTATTGTCTATAACAGAAGGAAGTTGTACAGATGATTTTTGGACACTCTGTATAAGGAAAAATTTTTTAATTTACTTTAAAGAAATAGTAATGAACAAAAATAGTATGATGATTAAAGATACATAATGTACTAGATAAAGAAGAGAACGATATATTCTGAAACCATTTCTGCAACATTTATTTCAAGTAATCATTTTTAAACTTGTCTGTTCATTCTGCTAAGTGTCTTTCATTTTAATTCAAGCATGTCTTGAATCTTGTAGTTGCAATTCTATTAACTGCATCAAATGTCAATTTAAAAATTATAGCAATAAAAAAGGTTGATGATTTTCTTAAACTGAGCAAAATGAAGATCTTTATAGATACTTTAGCACCCCAAAGAAAAAAATAAGGAATTGAAGTCCTAACATGCTTCTGACTTTTTAACTAATCATATAACTTTGATAAGACTATGTTTGAATCAATGTTTGTTCATATTTAAATATAAACAGTAATATAAACAGTACTTCAAAACATAAGCAAACTTCTTCTGCAATACTTTTCAAATCACTTTGATTAATATTATACATAAGTATTGATTGCATTGCTGATTTACTCTCATTCTGGGAAAAATTAAAACACTGTATGAATGAAAAAACCAATTCTTAGAATAATATTTTCTATAGCACAAACAGTTGATATTTTTAAAAAAAGGCACTACTGACAAAATTCAAGAAAGCATGTGTTTTAATTGTTCATATATTATAAATTAAGATATCATTCATGTAATATAATAAAATTTAAAAAAAATTATTTAGTTTCATTATATAATATGAGCATGTGTCTGCAGAACTCCACACATCTCACCTCAAACATATATATTTGAGGTGAGATGTGTGAAGTTCTGCAGACACATGCTCATATTGTAAGGAACCAAGTCTGAGCTTTATTTTTATTTTACTTTTATTTTGCTTTCATTANTATTTCTAGCTAACACTTTCTGGTTTAGATATCGAATATTCTAAGTCTAATACATAGTATTATAACGATTTTTTGAAGAATCAAATAGAATAAAACTAGTAGCCAGGGACGCCCCCGTAGTGGGCGTTATTTACAAATTTTCATGAGGCACGGTTCCTTTGACTTTTTTGTTCCTATCAGTATGCTGTACAGTTCCGTTAAAGTCCCAATGGTAAGATTTACCATCCGAATGAAGGGGTGGCAACCCTCCAAAATGTGTGCGAACCCTCTGTGCGAACAATAAAGTCAAAGGAACCATACCCCTACTCGCGACGCTTCGCGAGATATAAACCCGTGAAAATTCGCCTACGTTATTTCCGGTCACGTGGCATCGTGGTCAAAAGGGAGCCTACTGCGCGAAAAAAATTAACGCGCGCTCGCCCACACTCGGGAAGTCACCGACCCGCTCATTCGCAGGGTAAATTCTGGCAAACAGGCGGTCACGTGACCCGTAGAATAATTTTCGGAGGGCTATATCTCGGGAAGGGTTGAGCGTACGGGGATGGTTCATTAGACATTTATTGTTCGCACAGAGGGGGGTCGCCATTCCCTTTATTCGGAGGGTAAATCTTACCGTCCCAATCGCGTCATACGGATCTATATTTGTATCTATTAAACATTCTATAAATACTTTAAAATAGTTTAATTTGTTTATTTACCTTCGCTTGTAAACCTCGATTTTACCTTATATTACCTTAATTAATTAATTAACTATTTCAAACTTTATCGTCTTACGTAGTGATTCAAACCTATCCGGTTTTTCGTTACTCGTCCCCTAGTTAACATTACATGCATTCCGTGACAATAATAAATTCCTATTACAAATATAATGAATTATTTATATTGTTATATTGACCAAATAATAATTCATTGGCCAAATGAATAATAATAATTTATATTGTTAATTTAAATAATAAATAAAATTGTTAATTTAATTTGGTGTTTGAAATATGACACACGATAGGGGCGCCTCTAGTGTCCGTTAT